ATTTTCCCCACACGTGTGCAATTTTTGGGTTTTTGATGAAAATATTTTCCCGCCTTTTTGGTGGGAAAATGAAATCATCATATTCATCAAAGTTTTTACTTCTAACAGTTGAGGTATCATTTGTTGCTATTCATTGAAGTGTTAGCATCTCTTAGTACTTAACTTGCTTGTATTATTTATCAAGAGAGAAATTTCATTATAAAATCACTTTGATAAAGAGTTGATCGTGTTGAAGTCTAGTAAAGATCAACATCGTATAAGGATCGGTACTCCTTATTGTTTCCTATTGCAATTTTGAATTGATTTTTGATATGAAAGACATTGAATGCAAGCATAATGTTTGCATTACTTTGAGTTACACGAAATAGTAAGTGGTGTAATTTTAGAAGTTAGTATTTATTAATATATTTTACATATTACTAGTATATTAGATATATATTTACAAATTGTAGTAATTTGTGAATTCTTATTTTTAATAGGATAGATACGATTTTCCCCTTATATGAACGTAATGCCTATAACGCAAATTCATGCCCATCTAACTAAGGTTAGTATGGGTTTGTTTTGAAACCTAATCTGAAATCAAACCGACCAAGTCAGCTCGATTTCCTATAAACTAGGGTTGAGCATGGAGAAGATAAACGGAAATTCAAGAAATTACTATGCTTGTATTCTGTCTTCATTTCCTATCATAGTATTTTGCCATGTCTTCAAACATGAAAGAAAATAGTCATAGTGACCTTTTTTTCCCAATAAATATGGTTCAATAAATTCCAATTTGACATATAGAATAACGTAGGACCATTTCACTTGGATCTAATTGGTCTTGAGGTACAATCTCATAATTTATGATCACCAATGACTGCTATGTCCTAACACATGGTCTGTAAATTTCAAGACAAAATTGATGTATTCTAGAATCTAGAGTTAATTCTACCATCTACCTATCTAGATTCCAGAAACACGTCCACATTATAGATTTTAATAAATCGTTATCTATTCCACATATAAATAAATAGTCATTTCTTCCACATATAATGAAGGGCTAGTTAAAATTCATTATGTATCGAATATCATGATATTCAAATTTTTAAGCTCTGGTATCGTGTGAACCCTACCGCAATTGCCATAAATGAAAGTTTTATCAATATTATGACTGAAGAGATGTTGGGGATTTAACAAAAAGTATTAATAGTGGAATGTAAAATAAACTTAGATGGTGGAAGGTCAAATAATGTTGAAGAAAATTAGTTGTATAAATAATAATTAATTGCGTGTAATTTATTTTATATAAAAAATAATCTTGAAGATCGCGTTTAACAAAATAAAATACTTTAAAAGCTAAATTCACTTACTTCAAACTTTGGTTTGTGCGGATTAGATTTAAAGAAAGAATTGATTAATTGTTTTCATGATTTGTTTGAATAACTTCACATAATGAAATCGGGCTATCTAAATTACTTTATTCGAGCAATTAAATCGTTTCTTATGAAATAACAAACAAGAATACAAATCTTGGATGTTGATGACACATAAAATGCCGTTTTCATGCACAATATCTTATATTACACATTAAAACGGATTACAAACCTAAAAATGCACAGTAACTATGTGACATGAAAAAGGAGTGCTTTCCTATTCCGACTTTCCACAGCTATATTAATTGAGACAACTACGGATCCTGCCTCCTGATCATTACATGCGCATCAAAAAATTTAGAAGAATACAGAAAATCAAATAGGGTAACAAAAGATTATGAACTGATCCTTGCTTTTCATCATTAAATATTGAGATTCAGAATTTTTGTGATGAATGATTAATTATGCCAACGGATTGAAGTTGCCCCACAGGATAAACAAAGTTGTTGGACACCTGAACATCGTCATTCATTTCTCCCTTTATGACTGACTCAGAATTGATCTTCAATTGGTGGGTTACGGAC